ACCCCACCACTGTCGGATCGAAAGAGAAAGGTTTTCATAAAACGTGCTTGCAGCCATGGAATGGCCTTTTGGCTTTTTGGGACTCTTTTTATTTATTAATATTCTTGACTGTAGGGATCAAGACTTCCGGGAAATGCCAAGTGAGATGTGGAAATTTTCCTGTACACAGTCACTTGGGGACAGCAGCAGCTCTGAAGATGTTCTTGAGTGATAGTGCTAGGCGGAATGCTCCCGGGCAGAATTCTCTTGCAAAACTAATGCTGCTGAAAGGACAGCAGAAAGGAAGAGATAGGAGACTTCCCGGGGAGCAGAGAAAGCACCAGCAGCCTAGCTTTGGACAGAGATGCAGAAATGGCAATTGACGAAGCCAACAGGCTTCCTGAGAAACAGTACCCAGGGGCCCTCTGGGTTCAACTGGCTGTTAGCACTATGGTGCAGAAATTGACAGGGTAGGGAAAGGAAGGTGTTTGGCTCTTCTGCATGTCCCCGCTTCCAACTACAAGTGATAATCTCAAACACTCCTAAGTGAGGGCTGACTTTGTCCTTAGGCCTCTGTGACTGTTGCAGAGGCAGTGTGGTGGGGCTCGAGGGAGAGATGAGGGCGAGCTCCTGCTCTGGCCCCCGCAGCTGTGACTCTGGGCAAGCCGGAGAATCTGTCTGAGCCTTGACTTTCTCATCTGTAAGGTGGTGTTGACGGGATTACCTGGGATAGGGCTGTGTTGAGCACCTGCAGTGTGCGATAGCGATTGGGGTCGGTATGAATCCAAGCTCAGCACTGCTGGTTTCTCTACAAAGGTTGACAGAGATAATGTCTTTGTGCCCAAGCCTTGGTCCTGTATCCCTTCCTCTCTGCCAGCCTCACTTTGGCTTCTTCCTCTCTCGGGTGATTACTCCTACTGCTATCAGATGCCAGCTCCATCCTCCTGTGACCTCCTAGCCCTCTTGCCACGATGAACTTTGTGGGACACCTGCAGCTCATCTCTTTTTCCTTGGTGCTGGGATTAAACTCAGGGCCTCTCCTGAGCACACATTCCACCACTAAGCTACACCCCAGCCCTCTCTTTCCTCCTTGAAACACTATGTTCAGTTGACTTCTTTTCTTTCTTTCTTTTTTTTTTTTTTAAGAGTGTAATTCTAGGGATTGAACCCAGAGACCTCATGCTGAGCTCCAGCTGCAGCCTTCTCCTTCTCCTTCTCCTTCTCCTTCTCCTTCTTCCTCTCCCTCTCCCTCTCCCTCTCCTTCTCCTTCTCCTCCTTCTCCTCCTTCATCTTCGTCTTCATCTCCATCTTCCTCTTCTTCCTCTTCTTCCTCTTCCTCTTCCTCTTCTTCTTCCTCTTCTTCTTTACTTTGTGACAGGGTCTCACTAAGTCACTATGTTGCCCAGGGTAGGCTTGAACTTTCAATCCTGCTACCTCAGCCTCCCAGAATGCTGGGACTGCAGGCACGTGGGGGTGGGCCTGGCCTTCTGCCGGCTTCTGGTTTGCCCTCCCTGCCGCTCCTGCTCTATTTACTTCATCACTCCTTCCATTCCACCAGACTTGGTGGAAAGAGGAGTTGATTATGTATCTCAGGCTGCCTGGAATTCCTGAGAACAAGTGATCCTCCAGTCTCTACTCCCGGAACAGGCAGAATTACAGGTGTCTGCCGCTGTGCTCTGCTGGAGCAGCAGTTCGCAGCCTCTCCCTGCCCGGCTAGCAACCCAGTGATTTCTCCTCTCTCCCCCACCACATCCCATCCCATGTCATGTCCATTCCCACCTCCACAATATTCCCCACCCAGGTCCACTTTGACGGCCACTCCTGCCAGCCAGGTCCAGCCCTAAGTGAGCACGCCTGGCCTGCGCAACAACATGGCTTTGTGTTCTGCCACTCTGAATCACTTTTACTTTATAGTCATCTGCTCTGGAACTAAGCCAGAGGGAACTTTTACCCAAGTAAATCAGATTATTCCAGTGTCACCTTTAAATCTCCTCAGCCACAGAAGATAATTCCAGCTCCTTCTTATAGCCTGAGGGGCCTGCAGGAGGCTTCCTCCTCCCGGGCACCTGCTGCTCCTCTGCCCATCCCTCCTGGAGTTCAGCGCCTGGGCCATGCAGGACTCCAGGTGTTTTACGTTCTGTGTCCGTCTCCATAGCCCTTCATATTTTAGAATGACCTCTTGATCTCATGTTGATCTCATGTGCCTGTCTTCCTACAAGAGAGCAAACTTCACAATCATGGTAACTGGGTCTGTCTGGTCCAACCCCGATCACTCTGCACCCAGCACAAAACACGGCATGCAGCCAATGTCTAACAAATAGTAATTGAATGAACGAAAAAAAAAATCAAAGCATACAGCTCGGCGTGGCATGGTACAACATACTCAGCCTGGCCTGGGACCTTATCTCCCACATATTTGGGCCTGCTTCTGGCAGCACCATCTTGTCAATCGCTCAGCCTTGTGGGGGTTTTGTACAAAATAATCCAAAGGCCCAGGGAGCCCAGCACATCACAGTGTGCTCCCGGATGCTACGACACCAGCAGGGTCAGATTTAGTCCCAAGAGTCACTGCTCCAAGCTCTGGGTGTGTCCAGCCAACCAGAGAGAGCCACGGGGAACTTTGGGCTTGGCTGGGGTGCTGTTTGGACCCTAGACTCCTGCACCTCCCCAGAGAACCTCTGGGGAGCCTCTGGGTACAGAAGGGAAACTGAGACTCAGAGATAGGCAGTGCTGCCTAGGGTCCTACATGGAGTACACAGTCACCATGTGTAGATGTGAGATGTGGGCCACTGGAGGACTCCTGGGGAAGTCTCAGTGGAGACCTGGCCTATTGCTCTGGCCTGGGCTCTTGGACAAGGCCCCCTTCTGGAGAAGAATCGATGGAGAATGAGTCACCGGGGGGGAGGGGCCCATGGAAAAGGAAAGTGGGATGTCCAGCACCCCCAGGCCCTGCCCTTTTCCTCTGCTTCTTGGCCAAGGAGCCCAGTGAGTCACGCGATTCCACTGTGGCGGGCCCAGTGCCAAGCGCCTGCTCCACTGTCTCCCCTGCTCTGCGTTCCTACCTCCTGTGCAGCCAGCCAGCCGAGGAGAGGCACCCAGACAAACCCCCAGGTAGACACAGGCACACATCAGCACAGACACACAGACATCTAGAGGACAGGTGGACACACACAGACACATGGGCAGCACATGCAGGTGTGACTGATGCAGAGCCTGCATCTCTACAGCTGTGTGGGCACCGAACACAGGTACGTGGCAGGCAGATAGGCAGATGGCAGGCGGGCAGACACAGACCAACACCTCAGGCACCATGTCCAGACACGTCCACAGGCACATGGCAGACAGGACAAACAGACACAGACCAACAGCCATGTGAGCAAAAACATCCACCCCCACACACAGCTACTTGGACACACACACACACACACACACACACACACACACACACACAGATTCACATGGGCAGCCCACAGGGTGATGTTGGGCAAAAGACAGCTTTCTGCCCTAGAACCCTAAAAGTAACCCACCCCTGAAAGCTGACACCTAAGCAGGAATCTCAAAGGTAGCCTTTGCCTCAAGAGAACATGGCATTGATCAACTCCTAGGGACTCACCTTGCAGTAAGATAAATGGAGGTCAGATAAGACAAGGGACTTCCCAACCTGGAGGTTGCTGAGACTCATAGTGGGTGACTAAGGGTGGCCATGGTGAAACAAGTGGGTCAGTAGTAGGTAGGTAGCCTGTGTTCTGGCTGGCCTACCTCTGACAAATCTATTCTTTTGAGCCTCAGTTTCTCTTTTAGGCTTTGTCATCTCCAGTCCCTGCAAGAGCAGATGGGCAGCCTGTGGGCATGGGAATGCCAACAGCAGAGCCCCAGAGCATTACCCCTCCGGCCCTGCCACCAGAACAGGACACCCTTGATGACTCAGCCCCGAGGTCCCCTAGCAGGGGGTAACCCAGCCACAAGTGCCCGTTGTCCCAGTCTCTCCCCTCTCTGCCAGAGGCTGGCTGGCTGATGGTGCCAGGGTGGAGAAGATGCAGGGAGGTTGGTGAGAGGCAAAGGGAGTCTCAGTGCTTCCCTGGGTGTGTGGAGACCTGGATCTGCCCAGGTGTTCTCCTTCTTTTCCTCCCTCCTGTAGAATACTCTGGCCTGGACCCAACCTGTCGGAAGGGGGGCGTTGACAACAGGGTAAAAGGTGACTGCAGGCAAGCCTGGCAGGACAGAAGCCTCATTGTTCAGGACCCAGGCCAGCCTGGGCAAAGGAAGGGTTAGGCCTGGGGCAGGAAAAGGGGGCTCTGCAGGGGGCGCCAGCTGGCGGGCTCTTGTCTTCAGGCCTTCAGAGCAGACAGGTGCCAAGTAGGATGTCCTTGTGTTTGACTGGGCGGCGGTGCTTGGCAAAGGGCCCAAGCAGAACTCGACTGGTCGCAGGGTGCAAAGCCACCCCCACACCACACCCACCTCCTGGGATGAGTCTGCAGGGCGCCTCCAGGTTCCTTGCTCATCCTCCTCAGGATTCCAAGCATTCCCAGGAGCTGAGGTGGCTTGGGGCAGCCTCAAGCCTGGGGTCACTGTGAAGAAAGGTGAGCAGGGCTATTTTCCTTGTGGAGTTGCTGCAGGTGTGCTTAGATATTTTTGGCCCTGGCACCGTCCAGATCATGTTCCAAACTTTGAGCTGAGGGCCCCTTGTCTCTTCTCTAGGAGAGCTCCTAGCTCCATGATAAAGCTTATGGGGAAGTCCCTTCTGGTGTCAGACCACGATCCTTTTTTGCTTGAGTTGTAGTTCTGTCCCCTAAAGGAATGGCTTCCACTCAGAGAAGCCCCAGGTAGGACAACCAACGTTCAGGGGCCTCAGACTTGCCCTCTCACTGTCACAGCCATTCTGGGGCAGGCATGTTAGGGGCCACTCCAGGTGCAATTGGGTGGCCCCTCCTCCTGAAGCCGGCAGCAGGGGCGGGCACGAGGGCAGGGCGGTACAAAAGCGGTCCCGCCCCCTGCTGCTCACTTGACTTTGTGTCCTGCAGGCAGTCACAGAGCCAGGAGGCGGAGGGCAGCCTGGGCCCAGCCCACACCCCTCACCAGGTAGGGACGCTCCGGGCTCAGAGGGCAGAGGGTGTAGACAGCAAGAGAGGGAAGGGAGGAAGGAAGGGGGTAGGCAGAGACCAAGACTGGTGCCAGAGAGACACACGGTAGAGAGGAGCAGAAGAGGAGACAGGAGCACTGGTCAGGAGGTGGCTAGGGGCTGGTTAGGAAGGAACAAACTTAAGACACAGGGCAGGGATGATGGAGGGGCAGAGGGACCTGGTACACGAGAGAAGCTGCTGTTCTGTAGGATGGGGCCCCAAGAATGCCACAGCCCCCATTTCCTTGACAGTCCCTGTTCAGGCCAGGGAGGAGCTCCATTTCTTTCCCAGTCTCCTCCCCCTAGAAGCCAGGGCACTCAGACAGCGGTTCCTGGACTGTGTCCTGCTGGGGACAAGGAATCAAGGTTCCCCATGCTGCTTGGGGAGTTGTGCCAGGGAGTCTGATGCCCACCACCTCTGACCCCTGACCTCCCTCTGGGGCCAGGAGGCACCATGTGGCAATGTCCACTGGGGCTGCTGCTGTTGTTTCTGCTGACTGGCCAGGTAGCCCTGGGTGCCCGGCGAGGCCGCTGGCGCCGGGAGTTGGCACCAGGGCTGCACCTGAGTGGCATCCGGGACGCGGATGGCCAGTACTGCAAGAAGCAGGGCCTGTGCTGCACTGGCCGCTTTGATGACTGCTCCCTGCCCTACCTGGGGGCCACCTGTTACTGTGACTCCTTCTGCAACCGCAATGTCTCTGACTGCTGCCCTGACTACTGGGACACCTGCCTTGGCGTGCCACCTCCTTTCCCCCCACTCCAAGGTAGGTGCCAGGATGCCCAGGAGGGCAGCTCACCCTGTCAACCCCAGGTTCCTCTGCAAGGAGCCTGAGCAAGATTGCTACATGAGCATTTCTGGAGGAGGCTTTGTGGACTCTGGGAAAGAGACCCTCCCCTGACCCCTGTCCTCCCAAGCAGGTTCCCTGTGGCCCAACAGCTCTATCCCGCAAAACTGAAAGACAGGAGTTCCTTGGTTGAGTTCTAAGTTGGCTCCCAGAGGGAGGGCAGCCAGCCTCCCGCCCTTTCTCCCAGTCCTGTCTGTATTCCGGATGTACAAGGCACTGGTCCCACCTGCCAGCTCACCCTTGGACTAATCAAGCACGTGGGGGTTGGCTGGGGCATCTTAGCCTCCCTCCGGTCTCTGCTCGTATGCGGTGCCCTGGGTGGGTCAGTCCTCGGAGGTGGTTCTAACCACCTTCCTGCAGCCCTCTCCATGCCCTTGCCTCTCCCCGATAGAAGAAGCTCTAGAATTCCCCCCATGTTCTATGCGGCTTTGGGCTGGGGACTGCATACTCGAGTCGCTCTCCCAAAGCACTATGCTGTCTTACATTCTCAGAGCCTCGGCTTCCCATGCCCCTTCCATGCCCCATGTCCAAGCCTCCACTCATTTAAGTGGCAAAAGATCCCAAGAATGCTGTGGCTGGCATCCAAGTTGGAGTCACTAAGTAACTTGCCAGGTAGCAGTTGATATGCGGGCCTGCAGGAGATGTCTTCCTTTAGAGCTTGGCTTTAGTTTTACCAAGTTTTGAAGGTGTGCATGTGATGGGGTGACTTAGGCAGGGTCTGGGGTCCCTGGCTGCCTAGGACCTGACCATCCCGGCCCATTGTCTGCAGCCTGCTCCCCCACTTCTTGTCTTCTTCCCTCCCACCAGGATGTATGCATGGGGATCGCATCTACCCAGTCTTTGGGACGTACTGGGACAACTGTAATCGTTGGTGAGTGTCTGGGGCAGACAGAGGGTTTTCATGGTGGGCCTCCTGGCCAATAGACTTGGTTCAGATCTGGCCACTCATTTTCAAGAAACAAGTCCTTTCCCTGATGTGAACCTCAGTTTCCTTATCTGTAATATGGGGATTTTCACACTGAGCATGCCCACTTATGCAGGAATATTCTGACAACATTCCTAGGAGTGGTCAGCCATGGCTGCCTCCTGCAGGTGCCAGCCCTGCACTGAAAGCCCTTCCCTGCCCCTCCTGGCTCTGCGGCGGCTGCTGCCCCTCCCAACTGTTCTTGCTGTCACAGGAGAGTCCGAGAAGGGGACGCCAGGAAGGAAATCTCTGACTGCAGCTTCCGCTGCCCTGGGCCAGACAAGGGTCAGGGATAGCTGAGCTGGCAGCTGGCCATGCTGTAGCAGGGCCTTCCCTGGAATGCAGTCCCCCCTTCTCCACTGTTCCCCATCATTCCTGGCAGGAGGAAGAGGAGGCCACGGGTGCCTTCCACACTTTGAGATGGGAGGTGGAGAAGGGGTGGGTGGCAAGCTAAAGGCCTTACTGTAAAGCCTGGGGTCCCTATGGACTTGGAGGAGGAGGCGCTGCCTGCACTCTACCGCCAGCCCCTGCCTGGGATGCAGAGGCCCTGGGGAGAAGGAAACTTTTTGGAATGTGTTGCCATAAGCTGTTTCCATCGCATCACTGGGGCGAGGGTGCCTAGGTCACAGTGAACGCAGGGACCCGTATGCGGGTGAGAATGTGCCTGTGCGCCATGCGAGTGCTTGGAAGGGTGGGACGTGCCTGCAGGACTGTGCAAGTCTCGACAGGGTGGACACGGAGGGGTTAAGGCTCTCTCCCACTCCTGTCCCAGGCCCCTTCTGGAATGCTGGAGCTTGCTGCCACCGGTCCTGTCTAGACCTGCTCAGGCAGCCCTGGGGCGCAGGAGGTGGGGACCAGAAAGCACTGACCAACCCCTGCCTGCCCCACAGGGGACTGTGTTCTAGGGCTGTGTTCCCTGCACCCACATCTGAGAGAAGGTGCAGGTGGCATTTGTGTGCACTGTAGGGATGCTGCCTGAGGGCCCTGTGACCGCTGTACAGTGTGCCCCAGAGAACAGGAAGGACTGGAGCCTCCTTGCCCCCAGACGCCCTGGAGCTACCCGCTCACTTGGCCTGCACAGCCAGCCCTGCTGGGGCTTGGATCTTCTGGAGGCACCTTATAAGGCGACATTGGAGGCGGGTGCCTCAGGCTGGCCTGGAAGGAAGCAGTTTAGCATCTTGTAATAGCAGAGTTATGAGCTTGTAAAAGCATCACAGAATGCATAGAATTCAAGCCTTCGGCCAACACCTAGTTATTAAAATCCTACTGTATCTCAGGCATGGTATGGGGCCCAGGAGGTACAGCTGGAACACAATAGACACAGTCCTTGTCCCACGGGAGCATCTAGTTATTGGCAAAGGACGTGGAAAGTCACACATGTACCGGGACACGCTGTTATGGGGAAAGAGAAGACAATGCGGATCCTGGTTTAGAGTGGGGAGGAGACCATGGGAGGGGGAAGGCGGCTCGGAGGAAGGGATGCTTATGCTGACACCTAGGAGTAAGTGGAAGGCAGGACAGGTGCCTAGGCCCAGGCAGTCGCACAGCTTTTGGGAGGCTGGGAGACAGGACGGGGTCAGTTCAGTGGAAGCTGAGTGCTAAGAAGCTAGGAGAGGCACGGAGCAGGCGCAGCCATGGTTGTAGGCTGTCCGTGTTTTGTCCTGAGTGTTGCAGGGAGCTCCTTAGGGAGCGTGCAATCTGGCCCACATCGCTCATTGATCTCTCCTGCTTTGGGGCAGGTGGAGATGGACTGCTGAGTGCGGTGGGGGGATGAGAGAGACTTGATCAGGAAGCCCTGTCCATGCCTGGGTGAGAGGTGAAGGAGGCCTGGAGAGAAAGCTGGCAGAGGAAGGGTGAAGTGACATGCCATCCCCAGGACCTGCTGATGGGGGCCTTGTGGGCATGCCACAGACCGTGTGGCACTCAGACCTGAGTAACTGGGTGCTGCGTTCCGAGCTGAGGATGCTGGGAGGAGCGTGCTGGAAGGCTGAGACTATTTTACTGGTCCAGAGGTGCTGGGAGGTTAGCTGGATGTGGGTCGGAAGTTCAGGAGAAGGGAGGCCTGGGGCTCCTGTGAAGAGAATAATACAGTGGAGAAGGATTCTCAGCACCCACGATGGGTCGGGCCCCGTACCAAGTACTTTGCCAGGCTGCCATTTAATCCCTGGAAAGCAGTCCTCTTATTAACCTCATGATTAACTAGGACACTGAAGGAGAACATTTCCATGAAAATAACTTTCCTAAGGTCACATGACTAGCAGGCTAGGATTGGAACCCAGGATTTGAACTCCAGAATCCATGCTGTTAGCCACTTCACCATACTACCCCAGTCATCCATCTATCCATCCATTCACTCATTCATTCATTCATTCATTTTTTCATTCCTTCCTTCATTCTTTCATTCATTCAACAAATATGTACGGTGGCTCCTGTGTGCTAGGACCAAACAATACCTGCCCTCAAAGATGTTTGAGTTTATGAGGAAACTGGCATAAACAGTACAAGTGACTTCAGATAGTTAATGACACAGTAAGGAAACTGCTAGGACAGGAAAAGGAGACAGAAAGTGGGAGGACTGCTTGGGGGAGGAGGCTCCCCAGAATAAGCGAAATTTGAAATCAGTACTTGGAAGAAAGAAATTGAGCCATAGGGTTATGGGGGGTAGAGTAGCTCAAGGGCCCTGGGCCATGAGCACAGTGGGTAAGTGCAGTCAGCTTCCCTGCAGCCTTCAAATCCAGGACTATAGCCCAGTGCAGTGCAAGCCTGTAATTCCAGCAGGCTGGGAGGTCAAGCTCAGCCTGGGCAAGTTAGTGAGACCCTTTCTCCAAAAAAAAAAAAAAAAAAAAAAGAGTGGAGCTATAGCTCAGTGTGCAGGGCCTGGGCTCAATCGCCATTACTGGGAAAAAACCATCCAAGACTAGGAGAAGGAGGAGGGGTCAGTCCAAGAATGGACAGGAGGACAGATCCTGAAGGGCTTGTCATCACCTCAGGACTCTGGCTCTTATTCTGTGACGTAAAAGCAATGGAGAGTTTCAGGCAAAGGAATGACATGATGTGGCTTAGGTTTAGCAGGATCACGCTGGCAGCTGTGTTAAAAATATACTGGGGGGACACAGGGTGACGCAGGCCAGATGCCTGAGCAATGAGGAGACTTGAGCAGAGCTCCAGGGGGGGAGGAGACTGGGCCTCGTGGCTGCTGTGGGAGAGAACAAGACCTGGTTTGGATTCTGGATATGTTTTTAAGGTGGATCCATCTGGATGTGCCTGGGGCTGGCTCCATACGTGAGAGAAAGTCAAGGTGTGAGCCCCAGGAGGGATGGAGTTACCATTTTATGAGAAGTGGCAGCGGGGCCAGGGAGATAGCTCAGTAGGATAAGTACTTGCCTGGCAAGTGCAAGGGCCTAAATTCAATCCCCGGTTCCAGAAAAAAAAAAAAAAAGAAATGGCAGTAAGGGAGGATTGGATCTGGATCTGATCTGCTGTTAGCTACCCCCTAGTGATGCTGAATAGCAGCATGATCCTTGGCTGCAGAGCTCAGGCAGGGATCTAAGCAGAGGAGGGGAGGAGAGAATTGTGAGCTTGAAGTGACATTGAAAGTCACCAGGCTGGGGGAATTGTTGAGATGCTGTATGTACCTGTAGTTGCTGGTACACAATCCCAGGCCCATTTTTGCCTTGGAGGCTGCATTCTCAGGTCCCCACTCAAGCTTTCTCGCCTTCCTTTTCTCATCAGTACCTGCCAGGAGAAAGGGCAGTGGGAGTGTGACCAGGAGCCATGCCTCGTGGACCTGGACATGATCACCGCCATCAACCAGGGTGACTACGGGTGAGATGTCCTGGCTGTACCCCCAGCAGGCACACGTGTGCATACACACATATGTTCTTCCCAAGATGCACGGGAGGCAGGCAGCACACTCAGATTTGACATGTGTCTCTCCCGCCCACACACGTGGCCTCCAGATTCCTGGCAGGTCTGTGACTCCTCCATCCCTTCTTCTTCAGGTGGCAGGCTGGGAACCACAGCGCCTTCTGGGGTATGACACTGGACGAGGGCATTCGCTACCGCCTGGGTACCATCCGCCCATCTTCCTTTGTCATGAACATGAATGAGATTTATGTAAGTCCTTCCTTGCCCACAATCCTACCATTGTCTTGTACTTGGGACTTTAGGGATGCTGTCCCCTGTGCAGAGCCTGTGTGTCCCTGCATAGACACCCTCTGGGCTTCTGTTTCCTCTTTATATTAAGAAGTGGCTCACTAGATGTGCTGAGCTCAGATTCTGAGTTCTGTAGTAATCCCAGCAGGCCCTCCTCCCTCTGAAGCCTGGGAAAAATGCTGTTGGCCCCAGTGCAGTTGAGTCAGGGCCCAAGAAGCCAGGAGGTCACCTTCATATTTTAGGAAAAGAGGGACAGATACTCTTCCAGCTTTGGCCAGAGAGCAGCAATTCTCAGGGCAAATGCCAACTCAGTGGAACCCCCAGGGAGGAGAGGGCTTCTCCCTTCCCACCAAGAGAACCCAGTGGGGCTATGGGGGTGGAAACCAGACCTGAGCCACCAAAGGGCTAGGAAGGGAGCCTCCTGCAGCCAGACTGGGGTGGGGTATGTGCTGGAGGACCTGCCCATCAGTGCAACCAGGAGAGACAGGGGCTGGCCCTTCCCATGGAGGGCTGGAGCCCAAGGCCAAGGTGACCAGCCCCTGCTCCTACCCTTACTCCCCTAGGCCTGTGCTATTTTCTGCCTCCTGTTGTTTGTCTTGGCAGCCTGGCTAGTCACGGGACTTTGTTGCTCTTTCCCTACCCTGCCCTTTGGGGCCTGGAGGCCAAGACCATGGTGGGAAGGAGGGTGTGGCAGATCAGAAGGCACAGAGAAAGGAGGCTAGGGTTGAGAAGGGAAAGCCGATGGCCCTGGCTTGACTATATCCCTATTGCTGGCCTCAGGAACCAGTCATCTCCTGCCTGATAATTGCAGGCATTAAACGGACTTGGTTCTTGCCATCATATCTAAGTTGGAGGCAGCTGGAACCCCACAGCAGCAGGTGGGCTGCAGATCCAGCTGCAGAGGACCCCACCAATGCCTGGGCTCCTGAGGGCAGCTGGGCTGGGCAGGCGGCACTCAGGGCCACCTTTGCCTTGTAGACCATGCTGGCCCCAGGGGAGGTGCTGCCCACAACTTTCGAGGCTTCTGAGAAGTGGCCCAACCTGATCCATGAGCCACTTGACCAGGGCAACTGTGCGGGCTCCTGGGCCTTCTCCACAGCAGGTGCGTCTGGGGCGGGGCTGGCACAAGATGGGCAGAGCGCCAAAGCCCAGCCCCTGACAGCCTCTTTCTTTCCTCTACTAGCTGTGGCATCTGATCGAGTCTCAATCCACTCTATGGGACACATGACGCCTGTCCTGTCACCCCAGAACCTGCTGTCTTGTGATACCCACCACCAGCAGGGGTGTCGTGGTGGGCACCTTGATGGTGCCTGGTGGTTCCTGCGCCGTCGAGGGTATGCAGCAGGGGTGTTGGGGGGGTAGGACACTCTGCTGCAGTGCTTGGGCTGTGTGGCACCACGTCACCATCCATGGCCTCTTCTGCTGCCTCCCCAGGGTTGTATCTGACCACTGCTATCCGTTCTCGGGTCATGAGCAGGAGGAGGCTGGCCCAGCACCCCGCTGCATGATGCATAGCCGGGCCATGGGCCGGGGGAAGCGCCAGGCCACTCAGCGCTGCCCCAACAGCCGCACTGATGCTAACGACATCTACCAGGTCACTCCTGCCTACCGTCTGGGTTCCAATGTGAGTTTGCATATAGGCGAGGGGCAAAAGCAGGAGATGGGGGCCTGGCCAAAGGCTGGAGCCCCCATACTCACTGGATGTGCTCCTGCCCACCCCTCACCCCCACCCCCAGGAGAAAGAGATCATGAAGGAGCTGATGGAGAATGGTCCGGTCCAAGGTAAATGTCCCTTGTCCTGCACCTGGCTCCAGAAGCCTGTGTCTGTTTGAGCAGGGCACAGTGGCCCACACTGTCACACAGCACTAAGCAGTAAGTCCACTGGGTCTGCGAGTAGAGGGGCTAAGTCCCCTCCCTGCAGGCACCCCAGCAGAGTCACGAAGGTGAGGCTCTGGCCCCCAGCCACAGGTCACAGGCGTGGCTGAGCGTGCCCTGCCCTGGTCTCTGCCCGCAGCACTCATGGAGGTGCATGAGGATTTCTTCCTGTACAAGAGCGGCATCTACAGCCACACACCCTTGAGCACGGTGAGGCCAGAGCAGTACCGGCGGCACGGGACCCACTCGGTCAAGATCACAGGGTGAGGGGCTCATGGGCAGAGGTGCTGGGGGCAGCAGGGTTTGCGCTGGGGGACACTGAAGCCTGTTCTGACTCTACACATCTCTGTAAAGTCAGGACCGCTTCCTTGTTTCCAAAGGAAGAAAATAAGACTGAGAGAAGGTGTGGCCCTGAGTCACACTGGGAATGGGGAACCTCTGGAGGGTTTCTGGGAACAGTCCTTTCTTACACTCTAGAGAGAGTTACCTCTTCTCATCTCGGCGCCTGTCCCAACCCTGGTCCTCACTGAAGGACCTGGGCAGCTCACTCCCAGCGCTCAGATGCTCCTTCTGTTACACCAGGAGGTGTTAGGGTCATTGCTTAGTTAATAGTTTGCCAACTCTTGTCAGTAGCCAGTGATAATTCCAATCAATAAGATGTGCTTTGCAGTAGGAATCGGGGCCCCAAAGATACCCACATGTGCTGGGTCCTTTCCCAGCTTCTGGTCCCTAGCACCCACACACCCTGCCTTCCCAAGTTAGAGGGCAGACAGATGTGTGAGATCCCACAGAACTAGTCCCAGCATGTGGTTCCCGGAGGGCCAGGCCTAAGGTCCCTCCTCTTTTGCTTGCCCCTCCTTACACCCTAGATAAGCTCACCTACACAAATTTAGAGATGTGGGAGCTGAGGCAGTACAAAGAGGGATAGACTGGTCAAGTTTCCAAAAGCAAAAGGGCCTGTGTGGGGAGACCTTGGAGTTCTGGTCCCGAGAGCAGGTGCAATCAACCCCTTCCCCTCCCATGTCCCCAGGTGGGGTGAGGAGATCCTGCCTGATGGAAGGACACTCAAATACTGGGTGAGTCCCTGGCTGCCCGTGCTCCCCAAAGCCTCACCCCCTTTCTTTCTTCTTCCCTTTACCCCACTCTCATTCCCATCCTCATGGGCATCTCTTCATTCCCAGACTGCAGCCAACTCGTGGGGCCCATCCTGGGGTGAGAGGGGCCACTTCCGCATCCTCCGCGGCAGCAACGAGTGTGACATCGAGAGTTTTGTGCTGGGGGTTTGGGGCCGTGTGGGCATGGAGGACATGGGTCATCGCTGAGGTCGTGGGCACTAGGCCAAGCCAGGCCTGGCTGGTGGTCTCAGGAGACAGTGGCGGTGGAAGAGCCCCTGGGTGGGGCACCCAGGGGGCAGACAGAGCCTGGGGTGCAGGCGGCGCCGACTCTAATCCCTCGGATCCGCTGACACAGCGCCAGGCTTGGGAGCTGGCCTGGGAGTAGGGCAGGCGAGGCTGGAGGCTGGCGGAGCTCTCAGACTTCACGGTGAGGATGCAGCAGGGCCTGCCCAGGGAGGAGGGAGCCTGCAGATCCCTGGGCCCCCAGCCAAAGATCATGGAATCCAGACACCCCCAACCTCCAGGTCCATGCCCTCACCCCACTCCTGTATTCTTATTCTTAAAAGATATTTATTTTTCTTTTCACTGTCTTAAAATAAAACCAAAGTATTGATAACTACAGTATCTTGGACCCTCCAGGAGAGGACGGCAAGGCCAGAACTGCGGTGGCACGCGGCTAGATGGCAGAAAGGTCGGCCTGAGCCATGACTGGTTGGTAGGGGCAGGAGGATTAGCACTCCTAGCCTCCTCCAATCCCATTTGGAGGCAGGGCGGAGATGGCATGGCCTTTGGCCCCCAGAGAAATGTGAGGCTTGGGAACTGGCTTTCAGATGCTGACTCAGCTGCACAAAGGGGAACCAATCCACCCATCAGCAGAACTGGCTCCAGGCCCCAGCAGGCAAGGGGGCACCGCTGTACAGTGCTGGGCCCTCTGCCTCTCCAAGCCACCTGGGCAAAGGGCGCTCACTTTCCCCCTCTCCTGGGCCAAGATGCACAGCCTGGGAGTCCTCTTCTCATTCACCTGCCAGACCTCAGACCTCAGCCCAGACTTCGTGGCCCACCCAGTACCCAGGTGTTCCTCAGACGACCAGCGCGTATGCAGACCCCGTGCAAGCACCTGTACACGCGCTCCCGTTCAGATGCCCTTCTAGGCCACCCACCCCTCTCCTGTATCAAAGCCAGCTCCAGTGCAATGGACTTAAAATCCTCCAAGCCACCCAGCAGGGCTAGGACACGCCCTCCTGAAGCTCATCTGGTGCTGTCCTCTTACCCAGTATCTTTCTTACCCGAGTGTCTCCCTACTTCCCCACCATGCTGGAAGTTTCTCTAGAGCAGGCCAGGGTCTGGTTCCTCCGTGGTCCCTGACACCCAAGGGGTATCCAGTTCCTGTTTGTGGAATGACAGATTCCAACCCATTCATTCACCTCTGTTTCCCCCCATAGATTTAGCAACTGGTTCCTCCAGGCATGATAGGGTAGGTAGTCTGCCAGTAATAAGCTGCAGCTAGGAAACTAGTTGCAGGGCCCTAAGTCAGGATTCTGAGACGTGCTGGTCTCAATTTCCTGAGTTTGTAGTCCCCAAGCTTCCTGAAAGGAAACCCCCTTACCAATTCCCTGTGCTGCCCAGTCTTACAGTTTCTAATCCCCCACAGTCTCAGGAGAGAGGTCTGGGCCCCAGGCTGGACTGCAGTGACCTGCCTTCCCTCATTAGAACTCATTTACATATGCTTCCATGGTGGTTTTCTTGATTCCCCTAATGGGCTTAGGTCACCATGCTTGTGTAGACTAAGACTATATAAGTCCAAAATACTCCCCTTGTGAACAGGAGGGAGGAGACCACCGCTGATTGGAAAGAAATGACCACTCCCTGCCATCCCCCCTCCAATTCCACAAAAACAAAAGCAAAGCCAACCAGGACCTTCCTGCAGTTTCATCTCCCTTCTGGAGGGTGGGCTTTCCTTGCTAACAGCTGCCACCTCTGCTCTGCCTGCCTGCATCTTTCCCAAGTGTACCGTCTCGTGCTTTTATAAAAGTTAGCCCTGTCTAGTGTGTACCACGTCTGTCCCCAATAAATACACTTGTTAGAAATCTTCACTCTCTGCCCGAGTCCTGTTTGTGGGCCTTCCTGCAAATCTCAGGGGGCATCTAAGAGCCAAGACCACCCAAGATACACAGCAGCACCCTGCCAGTCTAATCCCGACTTTTTGGGGATGAGCAGGAACCACCTGGAGTCCCTTCCTTTCCTGGAGGGATGGGGGGAGGCAACTACTGGACTCCACCTTGCCCAACCCCCAGCTGCAGCAATGGTAGGGGTGGCTGTGTCACCCAGTCACCCATCACCTAGGTCACCACCCATCACCTGGCGCTGGCTGGGATTCCTCCTCCAGCAGCCCTGGTAGCCCCTCCGGCCGCGTCCCTCAGGCCTGTGGGCATCACCTGAAAGGAATGCCGGGTGGTCCGATAAGAGGCCCCTTTGTCTGGCTTCCTGTTTGACAGGACGTCCCGAGCCGGCTCCCCCGACCCGCCCACCGGTCCCCAAGGAGTCAGTGCCGGCCGGTGGCCTTGGGACAGGCCCGGGCGCTAAGCCCCAGGACAGCGCGGGGGCGGCACCCTCAGGACGTGTTCCCTGGAAAAACCCAGCTCAGGGGCCAAGCGGCCCGGGCGAGGCTGGAATTTTCTACCAGGATCAGGCGGAAGCAGCAGGGGGCGGGGAAGGGAGGGGAACGGGGGCGAGGCGGGGCTGGAGGCTGCAGCTCTGCTCTGCCCTGCGCACCCCCACCCGGAGCCTCGCCTCCAGGTGCGGACCTTCCAGGCTTTTCCAGAGCTGGCACCTCTCTCCCAGAGGCTGGGGAAGCCTCAGTGCGCCCGTCCTCCCCAGCCAGCCCTACTCTGCTGTCTGGCGATGGCTGTGCCCTTAGAGAGGCGGCCTGAAGCCATCTGGCACCCCGGGCCCCTGGCGTGTGTCTTGTGCTAGCCTTGCGTGCTCTGTGCCAAGCACACAGATTTTAAGACAATCCTGGGTTTGAACCCTGGTCTATGTGACCCACATCAGCCCTGTGTAGCATTGGACGGATCTTAATGGGTTGGGGAAAGGATGAAATGATAAAGCATGCTAACATTTAGCTCAGTGCTTGGAATTTAAGGGCTCAGTAGATAAGAACAGGTCTGATCATCTTAAGGGATTGAGTTTGATCCAGCAATAGAAGTTTTTCATAATCAGTTAAGCTTTTATTGAGTGCTTGACCACAGATTTCTGACAACACATTAATCTGAATACATCAGTTACCTCGTTTAAGCCTTTTTAGAAACCCTGGAATTTCTTTATTTTGCACACATGGGAACGAAAGCTTAGAGAAAGTCATAACAAGTGGGTATTCACACCCAAGGCATCTACAACCTTATAATCATCAGCTCTACTAATGGCAGCCATACCTGTACTCCCAGGAGTCTGATACTCCTCCCCAAGCTCTACCTGGCTAGCAAACTCGTATACATCCATTAAAACCCAACTCAGTTGTCTTGCCTCTGGAAAACCTTTTTGGCGTCTTTCTGGACCCCAGTGACCCTGGAACACACACCTGGCACAGGGAGGCCCTGCTGACAGCTTCTCCCATAAGGGGCTGGGACTTTTTCCTTCTTCAGCCCTGTCCTTTCCTAGCTGTCAAATAATCCACTTGGACCTTCATTCTGGTCTCCTGTGAGGCTCTGCAGGATCCCAGGGCACCTGACTCCAATCTTCCTAGGGACTGCTCAGTTGCATCACTTCATGAGTGCTGAAGCCCGATAGCTTGCCGACATCTCGCCAAGCCCTGTTTCCCTGGTGTCCATTAAGGAAATGGAGTTTGTGCCCACTCGGCCTGCAGCGCCCCCTACACAGTGACTCACGGGGTCCTACGCTGGGAATGCAGTGCCATCAAGGAACCTTGTAGAATCTAGGAGGGGAAGCCTTCCACGCTGAGGAGAGCTAGCAGTCTACACACAAGGGGAGCCAGGGGCCCCCACACTGCTAGGGCGCATTCTGCTAGCCTCTGTCTCCCTCTCTCCTTCTCTGTCTCTGTCTCTCCTGCCTTTCTCTCTAGATTATTCTGCTGTGAGGAAGGGTGTGGGGCTAGTTATGACTCCTGAGACTCCAGACCACAGCAGTTTCCTGGAAATCTTCTGACAGGCCTGGCTCTGGTCAGGTGTCGAACTGTGGGCCATCAACTCTGAGGGCAGGATCACGACAGCCCTTCCCCAGTCGGTACTGGAAGGAAAAGATCTCCAAGATGGAAAGGGAAAGGAGGAATGTTAGACAGACGACTGTTAAACAGTGGACAGCAGCTGTCCACTGCTGTGACCTCCACCTGACAGGTGAGAAGTTGGGGATGGGTGGGAGAGCTCCATAGAGACCACAGTGCCTTCTGCTGAGCGTTCAGATCAATCTGGAGAATTTGACCAGAGAGACCCTTCCCAGCTTCCTGGCCCTGGGAGAAACCTTCTCTATAATCCTGCCCAGCTGGTGGAGACGCCCAGGCATTCTCAGCCCAAAGGGCAGCAGCGCCAAGGCTGAGGAGCCTTTGGAGGGTGGGTGAACCTGTGTCCTGCTCCTTGGAGTACTACCCCAAGGTGCCTGGATGAGGCCTTAACGAAGGGTGGTGGTTTGTCCATCAGAGGTGGGTGAGGGGGAGGCACACGGGGTGGGGGTGGGACCACAATGCAGGCAAGGTCTATTTGTCTCCTCTTTACAGGGAGGAAAAGGGCTGGGGGCGGGCAAGGAGAAGCTGAAGGACTTGCCCAAGGACACATGAGGAAGTGGTGGGTGTTAGCACAACTTATCTTTTTATTCTTGTCTGTAGTTCCTGGCTCATAATGTCCTCCCCAAAGCACATCACGGCTCTAAGACAGTCACAGGAACCAGAAGTTCTTTGAGGAAGGTCATAGAAACCCTAATCTTTCCCTGTCCTAGGGCCAGCTAGGAAGAGTTGCTCTCACCTTTCTTATCTAATGGTAGGTCATCCCGCAGGAGGAGGAGTGCTGCCCAGGGAGGCCAAGAAGAGTCTGAAGAGTCAGGCTTTGCTGGGTTCCCCACCCAGGCTACCTGCACTAGCTAAGCAGTGGCGTCTCCATGACACCCAAGGACCCCGGTGTGCAGAGTGTCCATCTGCAGAGCTGTCCTCAGGCTGAGGGTGGCACCCCTTCCCACACAACTCTTCCTCTGCCTCTCTCCAGGTGGGTCCTTTGTAGCATCCTTCATTATAAACTAGTATAAATGTTCCCCTGTGTTCTGTGAGTCACTCAAGCAAATTGAGTGCAAGACAGGGGCCCACGGGAACCCTGATTTGTAGCTGGTTTCCCAGAAACTCAGGTCAAGCGACCTGAGTTTGCAACTGGCCTCAGCAGTGGGGAGGAAGGGGCCAGCAGTCTTGGGAGCTTAGCAGAGCTCAACCTGTGAGACCTCCGGGTACCAAGCTGAGAGCATGGCCTAGTGGAATTGAATTGAAAACACCCTGCTGGTGTCTCGGGAGTGGAACAGCCTGCTCGCCAGTGGGGAAAAATTGCACACCTTCTGAAGTCAAGCATCTTCTTCGTCGATGCTCCTTTGCTATACTGTGAGTGGATAGTAAGAGAAACTGAGTCTGAGTC